AACAAGCATGTCTCGTCTGGCAGAGAAATGAGCCCCTTTGCACTTTTCAAACATGAGCATCACTTTATCCTGGACAACTACACACATGCAGCTACATGAATGGGAAAACAAGAGTGCAAAAATCAAGGCAGCAATTAAGTCATGAGAATACGGGCAGGCAGAATAAAAGACCAGTGCAATAAATAAGTCTAATAATCTTACACTACAGACATGCAGAATGTGGTGTATCCTGACATAATAAGGTCTCAGGAAGGGAATGTTTCTATTTTCCATACCAGTAAGGACTACCAACATGTGTGACTTGGGCAGCCAGGACTTCAGGAGTATCTTATGTCCTAGGGGCAGGCAAGGATTTGGCAGAGTGTTAGGACACAGTGTAGAAACTATTGAAAAAGACACTATAGTGGCAAAACCCAAATCATGCCCTGCCTGTGCTGGGCAGCAGAGGGAATGTCAGTCCAGCAGGACCCAGCAGAAGGCTGGAGGTAGTCTAAAGACTTTGTTAGTTACTGCTCCTTGATGCAAACTCTGGCCAGAAATTCCGACCCCTTTGGGTGCTGTCAGCACCTCTGGTGGTTGCCATCACGATGCTGAGCCCAAAGCAGAAAAACCCAAATTACTTTATTTTATATTTTTCAAATAAAAGCATCCAGCAGCTAGACACAGCAACCACATTCTTACAATGCATTGACTCTCAATTCTAAACACTCAAAATAGTGCTTTTAAAAATACTATTTACATTTGTGGTGAAAAAAACCAGCTTCATAAAAATGTAAGCACATTTCTCTCTGAGAAGCTGTAGCGTTCAGGGACTCTGCGTCATTGATCCTCTCCATCCAAGAAGGTCAGAGCCACCTTCTGCTCTAGTGAGAGCCCCAAACCTAATCTAATACTGGAAGAAAACAGTCTAATTCAGCCTCTTGGGTTTAGTCTACACTCCACTTCTAGACTGTACAGCAGTCTATAAACCCCAAGGCTCACACAAGCTGCCGCACAACCAGCCCTAACTCTTCATCCAAGTGGTTTTAGAGTTGTCTGTATATGGTCACTGCCCCAGGTCAGGGCAGACCCGAGTGCATGGTGCTGGCTCAGGACCCCACACCCTGAGCTCCTACACCTGTGCTGCTGCCACCTCCGCAGCGTCCCTCAGCCCCCGCGGCGCCGCGGGGCGACTCACGCGGGTCGAAGCAGGGTCCCTTGCTGTCGCCAGCTCTCCTGTGGATGCAGCTCCTCTAGAGAAGCTGGTGAGCCCACCAGAAGGTTCCTTCTGGGCCAGAGGATCTCCCCCAGGACAGGAGGCTCCTCCTGCACCCTCACCCCAGAGGTCCACCCCCTGCTCCTCCTCCCTGGCTGACAGTCCTGCAGCTCATGGCATTTGACAGGGCTTTCTCCACTACACAGAGAGCTGGTTAACCCTTTCCTTAGAACAACACCAATGCAGATTTTTCCACCTAAGGAATCCTAGTGCCTTTGCTCCCACTGCTACTGTGCCAAATTCAGCTGAAAACCACAGGAAACGCACCCTCCATGCCAGTACCTGACATTTTTGGCTTCCACTTCCCTGCCAGAACAACTTTGCTTCAAAAATACTCCTTACAGTGACCTTTCAACAGCATGTCCACCATTACTTGTACTTCATGATAAGCATCATCTCCCACCTCTCCAAAGCTGTCACTATAAGGCCAGTTTTACAAACTTATAATGATTTACTATCTAATCCTCAGTCATGCAAAGGTTACTGCCACAGAAAACAACTTGGCTCAGGCTTCCATCAGTGTCTTTAAAAATGGCTACTTAAATCTGCAAATTGAAATATAACATCTAATTAGGAATCCTCTGATTAATCATTATTCTTTGCCATCTTGGATATTGCTTTGATAAATGAGGCTTAGGAGCTTTGCAAAGTCTTAATTACCAATATTCCAGATGGCTAAGAGGTGTACACAGAGCTTCTCTGGGTACATGGAGCAATGAAGAGATCGATGTTCTCTGTGGCTCTAGATGCACACACACTCCCAGCAACACCAGTTCCATGGTGATATTGGTTACCAGACCAGTATCATGTGCTGGAGACAAGGCTCCAGAGCCTAAAATTAGAAGATCCTCTTGTTGCCACCCTGTGAAGCTCTGGAGTCCACGGAGGTGTCCCCTAAGCTGCCTACACAGAGCACATCTGAAGGACTACACACCGAAACAGAGCCAACAACCCTTGTGCCAAAGGGAGAAACATTGTGATAAAGCACCGTGGAATAATGATGAGAAATAACAATGTGGAACAACTGGCTATAGAATCAGAGAATCACGAAATGGTTAGGGCTGGAAGGGCCTTTAACGATCATCTAGTTCCAACCTTCTTGCCATGGGCAGAGACACCTTCCACTAGACCAGGTTGCTCCGAGCCTCATGCAACCTGGCCTTGAATAATGAGGATTCAGGCAAGGAACTCCCCTGAGCCATCAAACCCATTCCAGGTCTCTGAGAAGCTGCAGCATGGTTTCCAGCCAGCCCATGGTGCAGTGTGGTCAGCAGCCAGCAGATCCATGGCTGCACACACTCCCCTCCCTGCAGTGTCATAGGGAGCTGCGCCAGACACAGGGATGAAGCTAACTGCCCTGCTGAGCAGTTTCTGAGGCCTTTTGTGGTTTTAAAAATTATGTCTGAGTAGCTCTGGTTTGAAAGCAACATTCTCAGAACACTCTCAAGTACCAGGCATGAGTTCGTTGGGACAGACTCAGCTTTGCCAAGCTGTAAATGTCAGCATGCGCAATTTATGCAAAGACAGGATATAGCTGCTTCCCCTCTTTGGATCTGGGGGATTTTCAGAAAGTCATGGCATCTCCCTCATTTCCAGCAGGGACATTGCCCTGTGTCTGATGCTACTGACTTCAGCTTTTAAACACAGACATCCTCTGAGCAGTTTGCATTCTTCCGCCAGGTCAGCATCATCGCAGCTGGCCAGCACAGCAAGCTACGAGAGCACCAGCGTCCCAGTATACTGATTTTCAGTGGTGGGAAAAGACAGACACTGAACAATAAAAACTATACATATACAAATAACTTTGCACATAAGCCCACTATCTGGCACAGGTGAGTGTTTGGTATCTGAGGACACCATCTGTATGCCAGGGGAGGGACCAGCACACAGCAAATCAGAAAACGCAATTCTGACCTGGAGCTGTGTTTGCTGCCAACTCGACTTCACAGTGCCACATTTCATAGATTCATGGAGGGGTTTGGGTTGGAAGGGACCTTTAAAGGCCATCCAGTCCAATCCCAACCTCCTGCAATGAGCAAGGACATCTTTCACTAGACCAGGTTGCTCAGAGTGCAATCCAACACAGTCTTGAATATTTCTAGGGATGGGGCGATCCACCACCTCTCTGAGCAACCTGTGCCTGTCTTTCATCACCCTCAGCACAAAAAAATTGGTACTAGCTTCATTCCCTAAACCTCTTGGAGAAGGCAAGTGGTGTCAAATGTCTTTCAGAATCAACCAGTTTTGCTCACAATAAGCAGCTAGATAAGAAGAATAAAAACTAATTTTGGGACCACACTTTTGGAGACCGAAAGATGTATTTCATATGTATACCTATGTATTCATGTGTATTCATGTGTATTTCATATGTATTTCATATGTATTCATATGTATTTCATATGTAAGCCTAACTACTCTTTCTACCACGTAGATCCATTAAATTAATCTGTAGCTATTCTTTGCCAATTTTAGTGCAGTTTTCATCTGAGGATTACCCTCATCCCATCCCAAGTGTCCAGACTGCACCTTCTGGTGATGCAAAAGGGCCAAACCACAGAGCTCACCATCTTCTTTGGTAGCAGCGAGATGGAATGGGCTTGGGAGAATTTTGCCAAACCAGTCTGTGTGACATAATCTATCTTGAAGAAAACCTCCTGCATCTCTTGGTTCCGCTTAACCAAGTAGAGCAGAGCATAGCCACTGCTGCAAAAGCCTTTGGCAACTCCCATTCCTCTGCAGTCAGTGACTTGCAATCTGAGAGCATCTTACAGACTTGGGAGTTTTCTCAGGCATTCACTGCACAGCTCATGTAGACAAACACATTTATCATCTGGGTGTGAGTGTTGGAGAGGGGATTTTAACCAGTGCATATGTTACTTTAGACTGACGTCTCCTCCAGCTTAACCACACGGAAAATGCAATAAACCCATTCCCCTGGTCCCTGCCTGGGGATACCAGACCTTGCAGACTTTCATAAAGCTGCTCTCGCTGACTCCAAAACCAGACATTGCTATCTTTTCCCTTTTGTACCTTCAGAGAATTTATTACACACACAGAGAGAATCTGTGCTGGAAATCCAAATCAAACACCTTTCACTGTATAAATAAGCATTTAGGCTGTAACCTAAAAGCTAGTCCTTTTAGCTTTTCAGGAAACTTCGCAGAATCACAGAAAGGCTTGGATTGGAGGACCTTGAAGACCATTGTGTTCCACCTCCTGCCACAGGCAGGAACACCTTCCACTAGATCGGGTTGCTCCAAGCCCCATCCAGCCTGGTCTTGGACACTTCCAGGGATGAGGGGCTTCCACAATTTGGGGACTTGGGTGATGGCTTCTAATGGCAGGAGGGGAGATTTAGATTAGATATTAGGAAGAAACATGTTACTGTGAGAGCAGACAGATGCTGGAGCAAGTTGGCCAGAGAAGTTGTGAATGCCAACTTGATCCAGTCTGAGAAGTTCCCATTTAGAACGCAAGACTAGAGCAAAGACTTTCCCTGCTCATTCTTCCCAAGTTTTATGTATTTTATGGCTAATTACCAAAAATATTTGATGTAGCTGCACTACAGACAAACATAATCCAACTGTGGAATTGTAAGCCTACACATAAACCTGCAACAGGTTTGTGTAATCCAGAGCTCAGATACATCAACTTCTACAACACTCAACAGTATTGACACCTCATCAAAATGTGATTTTGACCTTCAGATGACAAGATCCAACACAAATTAAGGACATGTACTCACACAGGTTACTTTTCGGTAAATTTGAGCAGCATTCTGGCATTCTGAGTAAGGGTATTCTGAGGTAGCCATTTCCAACATGCACATTCCAAATGCGTAGACATCCACAGATTCATCGTAGTGTTCCTCATACATTTCCGGGGCCATGAATTCTGGTGTACCTACACAGACACACACAAAGAGAAAGTCAGTGCTTGGCAGGAGGCTAAACGGCTTTAACCACAGGTTTTTTTCATCTGGAAGAGTGTGCCCAGTATAACTGTGTACAGGTGCATGCAAGATTATTTCAAAAGAGCTCGAGTATGCCCCAGGGAAGAAACCCAAAGTCAAAACACACATTTACATACCTGTGGCTTGCTGGTAATAATACAAAGGGGGGGGGGGGGGAAGGGAGGAGAGGGGAAACAAAAATAAAAATAAAGTATCAAAATTTCAAAACTGAACAAGAAAATGAGCTATGGCCCATTGCCTGCCCATACTGGAAGTGATGGAATGGTTTCCTTGTCTGGGTAGAGAGAGGGATATGTACAGGCTTGGGGAGGTGAAAAGGGGAGAAGAAACGAGAACCTTCACTCTTGCTTTTATCAATGCCAATTTGCATATTTTTGTTTTCTCCAGAGATACAGAGCAACCACCTGTGCCCAGACAGCACTTTGAATGCCAGTAGTATCACAAATCACCTACAGAGTCATGCACAAAACATCAAACCTAATTCTGTCACTGGTTTAGTGGGACAAATCAATGAGACTACTCACAGAATAAGGTCCTACTCAACAGGGATTAGGGTGTCAGAAATCTGATGCAACTGGGTAAATACAAAGTGAGGCACTGTACTCACTGCTTCCTACCAAGGAGCAACAGCACTGGGACAAGCAGCAACTTAGACCACCTGCAATATTTGCTCAGCAAACTACTCTGCAAAGGGTGGACTTATAAAGCAAAAGGGAAAACAATTAACACTTGAGTAATAGTAATTTATTTCAGGAACTGTTATTTCATACTGTAATTCATGCTTAGGAATCATGACTAGCTTGTTTCCTTTTAGCACATAGAAAAGATGAAGGAAGAGAGATCAATGCAGTTGCATGTTGTGGGAGAGGAACAGCAAGCTGCCAGGATGTCCAAAGGAGCATGAATAAACTCTGCCTGTCCAGCCTCAGCAGTACGGGCAGCTTCGCAGATCCCCATCAGGGCTTTGTTATGATGTCTCTACATCAGCAGCAAAAGCACAGCTGTCATTAAATTAACTGACAATGGGAAAAAGTGATTCTTGCATATAGGATCACAGAATGGTTTGGGTTGGAAAGGACCTTAAAGCTCACCCCCTTCCACTCCACTC